CTTAAGTGCGCGGACTCTAATCTGGGAGAACGGGGTTTGATTCCCCACTCCTCCACTTGCACCTGGCTGGATGACCTTGGGCAAGCCGTAGTTCTGACAAGAGCTGTTCTTGAAAAAGAGCAGTTTCTGCAAGAGCTCTCTCAGCCCCACCTACCTCATAGGGTGTCTGTTGTGGAAAGGGGAAGGGAAGGGAGTTTGTAAGCCGCTCTGAGACTCCTTTGGGTAGTGACGGGCGGGGTATAAATCCAACTTCTTCTTCTTTTACCTCACAGGGTGTCTGTTGTGGGGAGGGGAAGGGAAAGGAGTTTGTAAGCCACTCTGAGACTCCTTTGGGTAGTGACGGGCGGGGTATAAATCCAATCTCTTCTTCTTGTTCTTCCTTCCCAGTGCATTTTTTAAAATTATCACTCTTCTTCTATGTGCTTGGGCGTCTTCTACACATGTGGCTCCGCCCCCTGGGGCAGCCATTTTGTCACTCCACCCACCACCCTGTGTCAGAATTCCAGAGTTCCAAAAAAGGACCCCTGCACTAGACTTTTTAAAAACACGTTATGGTGTCGAGGAAGCTGAATTTTGCACCAGCGGCACGTCCTGGGCCTCTTCTCAGCGAGAAGCATGGGCTACACAAAGCCATCAGTGACCAGCTTGCCCTCAGTCCACAGTTCCCACCGTGAGAGTCAGGTCATGGGAAAAGGCCAGTGCTAGAAATAAACTACGGTCTCCCTTCACCAATCCCTAACTCAGGAACTGAGATGAGTCCCGTGTGGCACCCTTAAAACCAACGAAGTTTTATTCAAGGTATAAGCTTTCGTGTGAAAGCACACTTCTTCAGATACAGAAGTGTGCCTGCACACGAAAGCTTATACCATGAATAAAACTTTGTTGGTCTTAAGGGTGCCCACTGGACTCAAGACTTTGTTCTGCTGCTTCAGACCAGCATGGCTACCCACTAGCTTCGGGTGGGGCTTTTGGAGGCTCAGCCCCCTTTCTTAAAGCCACGGCCCCACAAGAATTTCTCCTGAAAATGCTTTTTTTCAACCACTTTTAAACATTTTTTAAAGTCACGAGCTCCATTTAAGCAGAGTGGGGCGCTGCAGTTGGCTAATTCCTGCACTGAGCAAGGGGGTTGGAGTAGGTGACCTCTAGGATCCCTTCTAACTCTGTGTCAAGAAACTGGTCTCCTTTAAGGGAGCTTTTCTGCCTAAGTGTTGGCTTTCTTGACTGTAGAAGCCACCCCCACCCCGGCCGGCTTGTTCTCAGAATTGTTGCTTAGGCTGGCCAAAAGTGATTAACTTGCAGCGGCTGAGAACTGTCATCTAAAGTTGTGGACAGCTTGCAATTTAGAGATCTATCCTGGTAACAGCTTTCTGGTGGCTAAATGGCTTTTCTTTCTGCACTTTCAGCCCCATTAAAAAAAAAATTGCCCCACATGCCACAAAATCCTGGCTACGGGCCTGCAGCTGCTTGAATCTATTGGGAATTAAGAGACATTGTCCAAGTGATGCAATCTCGCAAGGAACAGACTTTGCTTCAAGGAGGGTATACCTTTATTGGGATGAGCATGTAGGATTGGACGGAGACGTGGAATATATACACAGCCCTCAATGGAAGTTCTTTAAAAAAAATAATAAGTCACAAGATAATCCCTTCTGGAAATACAGAGGCTGGAGCGGTTCTTCCTCTCTTGCACAGTCACAGCCGCTAGCGAACCAGGTCTTTAAAGCAAAAGCTTTTTTAGACAGGAAGTTAACAGGACACTGGGCCTGTCATTCAGAACGCAGAGTGATGGCCACAACAGTTCTAGATCAAGAAGGACTGCAGAAGAAAAGCTGGGCATCCTGACCACACCTGAACAGGAGCCCCCAGGCTCTTCACTGGCAGTGGCTTCACTGGAAAAGAGTTTGCAGCTCGGAGATGGAACAGCCAGGCCAGGCTTCCTAACAGGATGACCAAGGGAGACAGACCCCCCCACCAAAGCAGTCGGTGGCAGGCATTAATGCACGGAGTGGATACGGCCGCCATTTTGAACCAGGCGGTGATGAAGCTGTTGGGCGGAGCCGCTTGTCCTTTCCAGGAGCCAAAGGGGGAGGGGGCTGAAAACGAGGCCCTGCTCTTCATTTCCAGTTAAGGATGTTAATTTGTGATCTCCATCTGGACTTTTCCATACACACAGGGCAGTCACTGAGGCTGCAAGCTGGAGCAGGGTGTGTGTGGGAAGGGGCGGGTAACTCTCTCTTCCCCCCCACCGCATTATTTGTCTGCTGAAAATTGCCTGTCCCCAGAAGTCACTTCCCGCCCCCCCCCCTCATGTTACGGGGAAGAAAAGCAGGAGGGGGCAGGGGCTGAGCCATTAACAGTAGTGTACTAGGTAACAGCGTTCCGTGTGCCTTGGTGTTTAGTCATGCTGGTCCTGGCTCCTGCCAACCTAGCAGTTCGAAAGCAAGAAATTGCAAGTAGATAAATAGGGACCACTTCAGTGGGAAGGTAACAGTGTTCCGTGCGCCTCGGCGTTTAGTCACGCCGGCCACATGACCACAGAGAAGTCCTCAGACAGCGCTGGCTCTTCGGCTTGGGAATGGAGACAAGCACCGCCCCCTAGAGTCGGTTTTGACCGGCTCTCGTGCAAGGGAAACCTTTACTAATCCATAATGTCATTAGACTGGGTAGAGGGCAGCTCATTTGACTTCACAGAGCAAAAGGGCAATGACATATCATCTTGCCTCGGCGTTTAGTCACGCCAGCCACATGACCACAGAGAAGTCTTCAGACAGCGCTGGCTCTTCGGCTTGGAAATGGAGACGAGCACCGCCCCCTAGAGTCGGATTCAACCGGCTCTCGCACAAGGGAAACCTTTACTAATCCATAGTGTCATTAGACTGGGTAGAGGGCAGCTCCTTTGACTTCACAGAGCAAAAGGCAATGACATATCATCTCTGCTCCTGACAACTCTTCAGAAGACAAATCTAAACAGGGAGTTACCCCAGTCGGGATCTTAACTGCCAGAAGGCACGGACCAGCAAGAGTCAGCCCCGGTCTCGGCACCCAGAAGGGCTGATGTTGGAGAGAGAAGATACCAAGCGCTGAAGCCAAGAAATAGTTTTTTTTAGAGCATTTGAGACTAAGAGCCCCGACCCGGATAGGCCAAGCTTACCCGACCTTTTTAGACCTTGGGAGCTAAGCAGGGTCGACCCTGGTTGGTATTGGGATGGGAGACTGCCAAGGAAGTCCAGGGTTGCTATGCAGAGGCAATGGCCAACCGCCTCTGAACGTCTCTTGCCCCGGCTGCGACTTGACGGTCCCTTTCCTCCACCACCAGTTTGGACTACCAGTTCTGGTGGTTGTCTGAAACATGTGCCTCTCTGGGATTAAGAGCTGAGTCCCTGGAGGGCAGGCTTCTTTCTTGATGTGGTGGTTAGGAGCGTGGACTCTAATCTGGGAGAACCGGGTTTTGATTCCCCACTCCTCCACATGCAGCTGCTGGTGTGGCCTTGGGTCAGGCACAAGTTCTCTCAGAGCTGTTCTCTCAAGGGCAGTCCTCGAAAGAGCTCTCTCAGCCCCACCTACCTCACACAGGGTGTCTGTTGTGGGGAGGAGGAGGGAAAGGAGATGGTAAGCCACTCTGAGACTCCTTCGGGTAGTGAAGGGACCTCCCCCATCTCCTCCTCCTCCTCCTCCTCCTCCTCCTCCTTCTGGCCCCACTGGACTCCAGCCAAGCAGGTGAGGCGTTCTTTGGGGATGCCATATATAGAAACCCTGCAAAGCCTATCAATCACAGACTGGATGGTGGGATAATTGTCCACAGCACGGGCGGCAGCAACGCCTCTGGCCCATTCGCCCCACCCAGTTTCCTGGAGGGAACTCTCTCACCCGTTTCCAGAGACGTAGGGTTCAAGATGGGGCAACAGAAGAAGGGTGGATATGGCAAGACTGGCATTAACCCGGCACGCGAGAGTGAAGCGAGAGCAGACTCTGCTCCTGTGCCGCAGAATTGTTACCTCACAGCTTCCCTGTTTACCGCAGCTCGTTCCCGTCAACCGGCAGTCCATCCCGCCTGCCTTAAGGGTCTCTTTTTTGTTTGCTTCTTGGCCCGAGAAGGGCTTGAAAGGATGCCTTTGCAGAACACCCCCACCCTGGAGATAACAGTCCTCAGATGTGTAGTGGTGTTTGTTTTGGCGGCAGAGGGGCAGGGTGGTGGCAGCGGCTGGAGCAGCTGCTCCGGGCTTCCGGGGAGAGACTGGAGATGGTGGTTGGGGTGGGGGGGTTGGCGGAAAAGCTGCTCGGAGCTCAGCGAAGGAACAAGCTTGGGATGAGAGGCACCAAAGCAAGGAAGGAATCTTCTTCTCCCTCCCTCCCCACCCACCAAAGAAGCTGACCCACTGACACCAAACACCGCCCAACCGGCTCATGTTATGTCTCCCTGAAAGGAAACGAATCCCGATGCTCTTAAAATGTGTGTGTGGGAGGGAGTGAGGGCTCTTTGGGGGCCTTGAGTCCCGTCTCCAGAGGTCACCGGGCCCAAGAAACGCCAGTCCACAGAGCGAGGGAGATAAAACTGTTTGTGGAGTGCAGAAAAACCCTGGGAACGATGCCCTCAAGGGCGGCGCCGCTTGGAAGTCCACCGAACCCACTCTCCTCTCACATCCAGCCACGTGGGGGAGTCGCAGAAGCAAAATTCAACATGACGGAGTGAGCTCCCATCTCTAGTTCCAGCTCCTGCCAACCTAGCAGTTCGAAAGCAAGAAACTGCAAGTAGATAAATAGGTACCACTTCAGTGGGAAGGTAACCGCGTTCTGTGTGCCTCGGTGTTTAGTCACACCGGCCACGTGACCACGGAAACGCCTTCGGACAGCGCTGGCTCTTTCGGCTTGGAAACGGCTCTCTCTCTCTCCCCCTGTAGTTCTCAGCCGGACGTGTATTTACAACCACACAGCCAGGAGCAATTGCACTTTGTTGGCAAGAAAGCACCATGCCCAACGCTGCCTCTGTCTGCCCCAGTCACCAGGCGAGGGGTGGGGTCATCCTGGGGCTACGCTGGGTCTCGCCAGCCTGCACGTCGCTGAAGGCTCGCTGCAAAGAAGGAGGGGGGGGGAAACCAGGAAGGTCGCCAAATGCAAAGAATAATCAGAGGCAAGGCCTGCCCCTCATTCCACAGGAGAAAGTCTTCCCCACATTGTATCTCCGTGCTTGCTCTCAACAGGAACCTTTCCAGAAATCCTAAACCTGCAGCACAGTAAGACAGCTGACGGCTGCGCTATTCTGGGATCACCCCACAGATTTTCCAAAGCGGGTCAGCGTGGCTGTTTGCCATCTGGAGAATGCAGCGGAGGACAACCTGCTTGGTTGGAGGCGCAAGACTTCGCCTGGGGAGGGCCCCAGTCTCAGGAACCCACGAAGCTGCTGTCCACTGAATCAGACCATTGGTCCACTGAGGGCACAATTTTCTACCCTGGCAGTGGCTTTCCAGGGTCTCAGGCAGAGGTCTTTCACATCACCGCCTACCTGGGCATTTGATGCTGGGGATTCAACCTGGGACCTTCTGCGTGGCAAGTCACAGCCTCTCTCTACAGCTCTCCAGGGTCTCAGGCGGAGGTCTTTCCCATCACCTCCTGCCTGGTCCTTTTGAGCTGGAGATGCTGGGGATTGAACCTGGGGCCTTCTGCAGGCCAAGCAGAGGCTCTGCCACTGAGCCACAGCCCCTCTTTACAGCTCTCCAGGGTCTCAGGCGGAGGTCTTTCCCATCACCTCCTGCCTGGTCCTTTTGAGCTGGAGATGCTGGGGATTGAACCTGGGGCCTTCTGCAGGCCAAGCAGAGGCTCTGCCACTGAGCCACAGCCCCTCTTTACAGCTCTCCAGGGTCTCAGGCGGAGGTCTTTCCCATCACCTCCTGCCTGGTCCTTTTGAGCTGGAGATGCTGGGGATTGAACCTGGGGCCTTCTGCAGGCCAAGCAGAGGCTCTGCCACTGAGCCACAGCCCCTCTTTACAGCTCTCCAGGGTCTCAGGCGGAGGTCTTTCCCATCACCTCCTGCCTGGTCCTTTTGAGCTGGAGATGCTGGGGATTGAACCTGGGGCCTTCTGCAGGCCAAGCAGAGGCTCTGCCACTGAGCCACAGCCCCTCTTTACAGCTCTCCAGGGTCTCAGGCGGAGGTCTTTCCCATCACCTCCTGCCTGGTCCTTTTAACTGGAGAGGTTGGGGACTGAACCTGGGACCTTCTGTATGCCAAGCAGAGGCTCTACCAGTGAGAACCACATCCCTTCCCACTCTCCTTGAGGCTGAATGAGGCCTTGCTGCTCATCGGAATCACTTGTCACAATCATAAGGTACTGGTGCACTGTTTACCCTTCTGCCAACTTTCCAAGCTAATGCCTGTAGCAAATTACTCGTGTGATTCACCGGCCACAATGCACCGAGAAAACATCAGACTACAAGGATCATTCGCCCAAACTCCAGCCAGGCCTCACGATACTGAAGTGACTGTGTGAGTCATTCCTAATAATGTAGTGTGAAGCTGAGGCACAGAATGTGGGAGAAAGTCCCTTCCTCGCCTTCTCTCTGGGCCCCACCTTCTAAGTGGCGTTAGCAGCCAAGGATCAGAGGTCATTTCGGGGGGGATCGCAGTCCCCCCGGGTGAGGTACGGGGAGCGGGGCACATGATGAAGCCCCGCCCCCTGCTTCCAGCCGCCCCGCTTCCGCGGTGGCGGCCGGGACCATTGGGGGCGGGGTGTGTGGACACACTTCCAGTGATGTCAGGGGGTGTGGCATATGCTAATGAGTTATGCTAATGAGTTCCCCTGCCAAGGATCCATACTGAAGTCCATTACCTCCTTTGCAACAGGCCATCTCTTGGCCTCCTGCCCAGACTCACAAAACCGTGGAACTGGCAGGACACGGCTCACACCCTCCCTTCCTCAAGCTGCTGAGCCAACCTGTTCAAAGCCTTTGTGTGTGTTTTTGGGCTGCCTGCGGTTTCACAAACAGAGGGAAATATTTGTTGTTGTAGATTTTCCAGGCCGTATGGCTGTGGTCTTGGCATTGTGGTACCTGATGATTGGCCAGCAGCTGTGACTGGCGTTCTCAGAGGCATACAGAAAGATCTGCTGGCAAAACGTCAGGCACTACAATGCCAAGACCATGGCCATACGGCCCGGAAAATCTACAACTAATGGACTCCGGCCATGAAAGCCTTTGACAATATTGACTAGTAAAACAATAAATCACTGTGTACAATTAAACAATATTTGTGGGTTTTTATATGCAATGTTTAGAATTCAATTATTAACAAAATTACAATAACACTACAATATGCAATATAAAGCTTAGCAGTACATACAGAGTAATACAGTACTAGTTACAGACAAACGACGGAGTTCTAGTACACTATCCGTTTGTCCTTCTTCAGGTTTGTCATTCTGTAATTATTTCTTCATTAGAATGAAGTGCTGCAAGCCATATTTCAAAATGCTAATTCTTGTACGATTTTTTTGATGTACGCTACCGCGCTTAGATTCTGGTGACTGGGGAGCTCCTATAGCAAGTTCTAATGTGACTGGGTCTACAGCATATAATAATTGGCTAAGCTTCCCTCTGTAACTAGTACTGTATTGCTCTGTATGTACTGCTAAGCTTTATATTGCATATTGTAGTATTATTGTTGTAATTTTGTTAATAATGGAATTCTAAACATTGCATATAAAAACCAACAAATATTGTTTAATTGTACACGGTGATTTACTGTTTTACCAGCTATTATACACCGTGGTCCTGTTTGTTGTAATATATCCTTTTGCCAATATTGAGGGAAATATCCTCTCAAACTGGCAAAATCCTCCCCTCTCCATCACCACCTGATGAAGCAAAACACACACCTGGGCTGACATTTGACAACCCGATCGTTATTGGAGAACGCTTGGAAATGCAGAATAGGCCCCCGTTCTAGCAGACTTACCATGACCAGGAATAGGACGTTCTCGGTGGCGGCTCCTATCTGGTGGAACGAGCTCCCAGAGGAGATCAGGGCTCTGCGGGACCTAGCACAGTTCCGCAGGGCCTGCAAGACGGAGCTCTTCCGCCAGGCTTTTGAATAGGAGCCGCCACCACTAGTGTACTACCATCGCACTAGTTTACCATCTACCCCCATATATGGACATCAGGACGGGGGCACGTACACCTAGGCCCCATAATCGCTGCACTATGGGTGAGAACGGGACGGTTAGGGGGTGGCCATCTTGCTTTTAGAAATTGTAATTTGGAGATTGGAAATTAGCTGAGAGAAGCACCAAAATCTGTTTTAATGGGGTTGTAATTTAATATTTTGTACTGTTTTATTTGGCAATATACCCTGTAAGCCGCCCTGAGCCTTCGGGGAGGGCGGGATAGAAATATGAATAATAAATAAAATAATAAATAAATAAACCCAAAGGCTCACCTCAAACTTGCTCATGAACTCCGCAAAAATGCCAAAGAAAGCCTCTGAGGTTGTGACTTTGGAGTCCTCCCCAAAGAAGGACAGGACTTTGCCAAACTCTTCCATAGCTCTCTGCTGAAGATCAGCCAAGGACTGGATGATGGGATGGGCGCTTTCCAGGAAGGCCTCGAGAAGGATAGCTAAGGACAAACTGAACGTCGTAAATGTGTCGTTGGGTTGTACGTTCAAGAAGACAGCTGGCAACAGCGAGCCAGAAGTCTTCGGACTTAAAGCAGCAAGCAAAACATGAGCCTGCAGTGCGATGTGACTGCAAAGAAAGCTAATGCCGTCTTAGGATGCATTAACAGAAGCCTTGTGTCCAGATCACGGGAGGTGGTAGTTCCGCTCTATTCTGCTATGGTCAGGCCTCACCTGGAGTCCTGTGTCCAGTTTTGGGCACCACATTTTAGGAAGGATGTTGACAAGCTCGAGCGTGTCCAGAAGAGGGCAACCAGGATGGTGAGAGGGTTGGAATCCAAGTCTTACGAGGAAAGGCTGAAAGAGCTGGGTATGTTTAGCCTGGGAAAGAGAAGGCTTAGAGGGGACATGATTGCAGTCTTCAAATATTTGAAGGGCTGTCATGTAGAAGATGGAGCAGATCTCTTCTCTCTTGCTCCGGATTGCAAGACTAGATCTAATGGGTGGAAATTACAAGGGAGTCGATACCGACTAAATATCAGGAGAAACTTCCTAACAGTAAGAGTGGTTGAGCAGTGGATCAGTCTGCCTCGGGAGGTGGTGGATGCTCCTTCGCTGGACGTTTTCAAGCGGAGGCTGGGCAACCACCTTTCGGGTGTGTTGTAGGGCTATCTTTCGGCTATGCTCCTGCAGAGTGCAGGGAGTTGGACTAGATGACCTGCAAGGTCCCTTCCAACTCTAACATTCTATGATTCTATGTCTCTATCACTCTCTCATTAGATAAAAAACAGAGGCAGGCAATGGCAAACTGCCTCCACTCATCTGTTGCCTTGAAAACCCTCTGAGGGGCTGCCAGAAGCTGGTTGTGACTTGAGGGCGCTTTAGAAAAAGAAAGCCAATTCTCGTTGAGTTTATTCGTGAGGAGGACGTTTCTCTTGGGTATCTTCACTCAGGATGCACAAGAGAACTCTGAAATCTGAAGCTTAATTGGCACAAAACGGCAGATGAGTCATCACCTCTCCCCCCACCACCACCACGGTGACTGCCACGTACAATTTCCCAACTCTTGTTCAACCTGCTCTTGAGTAAGCAGGGCTCGCAGGGCCAGGGCACAACCTCCAGCCGGGCCCTGCTTCCCTTCTGGAGAGGGGGCAGAACTCCTGCCCCAGGGGTCGCCAACCTTCTGGAGTCTGAGTGCACTTTTGGAATTCTGGCCCAGCACGATGGGCTCAGCCACAAAATGGCTGCCACAAAATGGCTGCTGCCAGGAGGCGGAGCCAGCCGCCAAATGGTTCCTGCAGTTTACCTTCAGTCACACTGCAAAGATCCCTGTGCTGTGGTGGCAGCTGCTGCAAAAACAGTTTTTAAAATCTGGATGAGAATCAACTCTCCAATGGCCAATAAGAAGCCCTGTTGGGCCAAAACCCCATATGGCCCCACCGACTTTATACAAACATTTATAGGGCAGCAGGAAAGGTGTCGGGAACCGCATCCGATCTTGTTGGGAAGAAGAGGAGGAGGAGATTGGATTTATACCCCACCCTCCACTACCCAAAGGAGTCTCATAGCGGTTTACCATCTCCTTTCCCTTCCCCTCCCCACAACAGACAACCGGTGAGGTAGGTGGGGCTGAGAGAGCTCTTTTTGTAAGCCGCTCTGAGACTCCAAGTGAAGGGGGGGTATAAATCCAATCTCTTCTTCTTCTTCTTCTTCTTCTCAAAACCCCATACGGCCCCACCGACTTTATACAAACATTTAGAGGGCACCAGGAAAGGTGTCAGGAACCGCATCCTATCCTGTTGGGAAGAAGAAGAGGAGGAGGAGGAGGAGGAGGAGGAGAGGGGGGGATTTTTGTGGGCAAGCCGATCGCCAGCTCTTTCGACAAAGGATACGACCATCACGTCCCCAAATCTGTCCTCTGAGCAAGCCGGCATATTCTGGCAGGCGATCTCGATCTCCTCGATGGTGGTGTGAAGGTCGTCGAGGTCGGCTGTTAACGTTCTTTGATTCACTATGGGAGAGAAGAGACAGAAGTCTGCCCCGCCTATCTTGGCTTCTCTGGTGGCGTAGCCCAAGGCCTTTCTCTGGCCAGGTAACTTACAAGGGTTATGCCAAGTGACACACAGAGATCTTTTTTATCACTGAGGCTAACCTTGATGATAATACTGGAATACTGTGTCCAGTTCTGGTCACCATATCTCAAAAAGGACATTGCAGAGCTGGGAAAAGTGCAGAGGAAGGCGACCAAGATGATGAGGGGTCTGGAGGCCCTTCCCTAGGAGGGAAGGCTGAGGAGTCTGGGACTTTTCAGTTTAGAAAAGAGATGACTGAGGGGGGGACTCGATAGAGGTTTATAAAATTATGCACGGGGTGGGGAGAGTGGACAAAGGGAACCTTTTCTCCCCCTCCCAAAACACTTGACCGTGAGGGCATCCGATGAAGCTGATGGGCAGTAGGTTCGAAACAGATAAAAGGAAATACTACTTTACACAGACAGTGATTCAAATGTGGCCTTTGCTGCCAGAGGCCGTAGTGATGGCCACAGGAATAAACAGCTTTAAAATGGGGTTAGACAGATTCATGGAGGAGAAGTCTATCGGAGGCTACTAGTCATGGTGACTGAGGGAAACCTCCATATTCAAAGGCACTAAGCCTCTGAATCACAGAGCCAGGAGGCAACATCAGAGGAAGGCTTCGGTCTCTCTGCCCTGTTGTTGGCCCTCCAGGGGAACTGTCTGGCCACTGTGTGAGACAGGATGCTGGACTGGATGGACCCTCACTGGTCTGATCCAGCGGGGCTCTTCTGATGTTCTTATTAGGAAAAGGCTTTGGCCTCTGTACCCTGTTTGTTTGACCCTCCAGAGGAACTGGTTGGCTGCTGTCAGGATGCTGGATTAGATGGACTCTCACTGGTCTGATCCAGCAGGGCTCTTCTGATGTTCTTATAGGGAACTTCCACATTCATCAGCCATAAACCTCTGATTCCCAGAGCCAGGAGGCAACCTCGGGGAAGGCCTCAGCCTCTCTGCCCTGTTGTTGGCCCTCCAGAGGAACTGGCTGGCCATTGTGTGAGACGGGAGGCTGGACTAGATAGACCCTCACTGGTCTGATCCAGCAGGGCTCTTCTACTATTATATTCCTAACCTCTAGCCAGGGAGGAAGACCATCCATTCTCCAACCCCATCTCTATGAACAGACTAAGCTGCTTTATGCTGGCAGTGCCTTTCTAGGGTTCCAGGAAAGTATCTTGCCCAGGGCTGCTCCCCGAGAGCCTTTTCACTGGAAATTCCAAATGTGTCCTGTGCCACTGAAACTCACAAGACTGCTGCCCTTCCAGCGTAATAGTTTCATCTGGCACTGAAAGAGCAAGCCAAGTTACACCCCGCCCAAACACACCCTGTTGGGGATGCCACAGGGAAAACCCTGAAGCCCTAGTAGGAATCAAAGCAGAAGGGGGAGTTATCGCAATGCAATAAAAGACCGGTGCTAGAGGAGCGACGGGTCTCTTGTTTCCAGACAGACTCAGGAGGAGCTCCGCCCTCGGTGCTTTACCTTTGGCGGCGTGTGGCACTGTGGGCAGATCCTTGGCAAAGCCCAGGAGTTCTGGGAAATGTTGGCTAAGCGATTTGGCAAGGATGTGTAGGAAGGTGGATTTCCCGTCGACAGTCTTGGTCGTGTTCAGCTGTATGGAAGCAAAGCAAGAACATTCGTTGTTGTAGATTTTTCCGGGCTGTGTGGCCGTGGCCTTGGCATTGTAGGACCTGATGTTTTGCCAGTAGCTGTGACTGACATCCTCAGAGGTATAACACAGAAAGAGGGAGTACTCTCTGTGTCAAGGTGAGAAGAAAAATGGTAGGCAGGTAATTTATATCTCCTCAGGAAGGTGGGGCAGGGCTGAGTCATTATCTGGTAGGAGTCCCCCAGGCTGTGAAGACATGCTAATGGAGGAGCTTTCCTGAGGAGGCTCATTTGCATATGGATTGGCTGTTGGCAAGAACAGTCGGTGGGGCCCTGTGCCACGTGGCGGCCGACTAAGAGAGGCCTGGCCGGGGAGGGAAGTTGGTTCAGCTCGGGTATTCCCACAGCAGTGAAATCTCTGGCTCTTATTGCTGCAGGTGAGAGTGGAGTTCCCGTTCTTTGGTCAGGGCCTGAAATGCCTTGCGGAAGAGGAGGCTGGCTGGGTGTCACAAGATCCGTGTTGTCCCTTCTCTCTCTCTTTCCTAGGAGTTTAGGGTGGCACCCTTGGTTCTATCTCCCCCCCCCTTCTGTCTTCACAACAGCCTTGTCAGTTAGGTGTGGCCAGGGGTCATTTCGTAGAAAAAGAGCTAGAGGAACTCATTAGCATAACTCATTAGCATATGCCACACCCCCTGACATCACCAGAAGTGTGTCATAAGGCCACACCCCCTGACATCACCGGAAGTGTGTCATAAGGCCACACACCCCGCCCCCAATGGTCCCGGCTGCCGGCGGTGGCCTTGCAGCTCCACTGCCGAGCCCCATGAGGGGCCCGGCGGTGGACCTG